GACCCCATAGGGCCATATATGATGAGAAACCTGATGGGACCACCTGGTCCTAGAGGCAAGTAACCAAAGTGAGCATAGATGTCTTCTGATGAGCTGCATCAGCTCAAGATGCCAAAATAACAAAATAACACCTCACAAAGAAAGGATTCAAGACAGTGAGTCTGGAGGGAAGACTGAAGGAGGAAAAAGTCAAAAAGTAAGGCAACCTGATGAAGTACATCCAAGAAACAGAGAAACCAAGTTAAATGGAAAAAAACAGGGATATGTTAGTTGCCCTAGTAAAGCTGATAGGGTGTAAAACTCCTAAAAGAAAGGAAAGTGTGAGAATAAATATAGAAGTTTAGTAATGGAGGAAGATGAGTAGATGATGAGAGAGAGAAAGAAAAAAGAGGAGATCCTTAAAATGAAAGAAGAGATTCAAGTGACAGAGGTTCACACAACAAGGGAGCCCGAGCAAAAAATAAATGAAGAAAGAGAAAGCAAAAAGAAACATGTCTGTGGAATACAAGCAATGAAGGACAAAGGTGGGACACTTGATCTTTGATGGGAATAAGGAACTAGAAGCAAAAACTGTTGTGGAAATAACATTGGTGAAACACATTACCAAATGGTGCAGACTCAGCTGAAGTAACAGAAGCAAGAGATTGGGAATTCTGGATGTGAGATAAGAATGGAACCAACCACATGGTTCACAATGAAAGTAATATCACTGACCATCTGACTGCCTCCAATCACCATTACAGTGTTGGATGACACTTCAGGAGATGCAAGAAATATGGAAATATGAATGCATAATCCAGTTGATCCATGAAACTGATTTCGTAGTGCTTATTTTTTTTTCTTTGTAAAATACAGGGAACATCACAGAATCCAAGATTTTTTTTAAAGAAATAAACTGAGTCTAGTATATTGGCAGTGCACAAGCCTAATGATGACCATGAAAAGTACATGACAAAACCTGTATGTTGGAACAGACAAAGGGGTATAAGTCCCAAACTTACAAATTTTAGGAAAACAAAATCAAACTGAATATAGTGTATATCAAAATTCTTATTAAAAAAATTTTAAATGTGGTATTGTTCTCACACATAACCAAGAAAATCAAAGAATGAAAAATTACACTGCAAATGGTAATAAAAGTTGAAAATAATAAGTGCAAAATGTCCAGTACTTCCAAAAAAATACACATTCTGAAGATAAACAGTGTCAAGGAAAGAATAAGCTTTTGTTTAAATACTTGTGCTAATGAGGATTACTGAGCACAGAAGATGCATCTTTCTCCTACTGGTGGAGGGCTATAGTCTAATGATGATTACATCACAGGTTTGTGCAATATATGTTGACATATAGGGGTGGGAGCTTTCTTCCTGGCTTGTGGCTTGCTCAGGAATTTACACAGTAATTTCACTGCAACTGGGACATATATTTCCTAGTGCACTGATGTATACATCTCAGCCACAGTAAAAGGGTTAAATTAGACAACAAATAGGCCTATTATTACTAACATTATAGAGTCAGTGTTTATAAAGTTTTAAGTGGTGAATAAATGTTAATCAATAAATATTCTTTTGGTATTTTAACACACATATTACCTACTTGTCCTTAAAACATAAAAAAATAAACATTGATTACTACCAAATATCTTTTATCCTTTGTACAGTCGAAAGAGTTGAAAATTTATGTTGGAATGTCCGCACAGTGTTTTCTACTTCCTGACCTAGAATACAGTCAAAAGGCTCAAAAATGCTATTTAAGTCTCTTTCAGAGTGTACATGTACTTTTGTTCAGGATAACATTTCATTTTTCCACATCATTTTTACTAAAAATGTGGTGACTAGAGAATTACTTCGTGACTGATGAAATAAGTGAATAGTAGGTGCATTTTGGAGGTACAGACAAATTCGTTTTATATTCTATATTTTTTGTTAATCATTCAACAATGGTTCCCTGTAATTTTTGATGGACTTTATACTAATTATAACACAATGTACTAATGAAGCATAATGTATAGCAAGGTTGTCCAACTTTGTGTTATTGACAGGTCACATATTCTAAATGTGTTCTAAGTTGCTGGACACTAATTATGGTTGAAAAAACATATCACTGCTTTATTCAAGTTGGTATCAATAAAAATGCAACAGTACTAAAGCAATAGGTAACAAACATTAATCAACCCAAGCCACAAATTCTAATACACTATAATATGTTCTATTTTTAGCTTCATATTTTTTTATTTTTACCTGGTGGTTGATGAGCTAGTTGTAACTGCTTTGCAGGCTGAATGTGGCCCATGGGCTACCAAATGGACAACCCAGCTATAAAACTGTAAAAGAAAAACTCACTTACCTACAATACGATCCCTAAGCTCATCTGGCTCCAACAAAGTGGCATTGTAAGGAGGAAGTAAAGGGGTTCGAATACGGCTAGCTGTATTCATTGTCTCTGTCTGCATTTTAATATACTGAGCACGTGCAGATCCTGGATTTAGCACTGAAGAAAAAGCTTGGTTCCCACGAACTCGGTCAAATACATTTGTACTTTCATCAGAGAGAAGCACCTTTGCAGTAGGAAGTACCAGTTTTCGCAGAAAGCTGAGTATAGAATTAGATCCTTCTTCACAAATGACCTGTGGTGGCTGAGACTTACATTTATTTCCCCGAGCCAAGATAACATCGAGGGTATTGGAGGCACCAAGAGACAGTGGAAGGTTCTGCAGGTTATTGTGGCTAACATTTAGCTTGGTTAAGGCTTTCATATAACCCAAGTTCTCAGGAAGGCTGTTTAGTGAATTATTGGACAAATCAATTTTATAAAGTTTGTCCATTTTATGTAAGGAAGAAGGAAGACTCATCAGTGCATTATAGGGTACTAACAATTGTTCTAAGTGAAAGAGCAAACAGATACTTTCTGGAAGACATGTCAGCTGATTATGACTTAGGTCCAAGTAAGACAAATGTGGGAGTCGAAAAGGAAGTTCTGGAGGAAGTGAAGAAATTTTATTAAAACAAAGAATTAATCGTTCATATAAACTCACAGAGTCTCTGTAGGTCCATGGAAGTTCTAAAAGGCACTGATCTGGATATTCTCCATTCATATACTGAAAAATCATTAAATAACAGAAATCAATAATAAATATTTGAGAAAATGTTAGTAAAAATATTTGTTAAATAACATATATGTTAAAAAAAATAATATTTTCATAAATAAAGATATGTGATCAACTTGACTAATCAATTACCCATGAGCATCAATTACATCAATTAATGTCAAATAAAATAACCATTTAAACAAAAGTAGTATTATCAATGACCCAAGTAATTATTATTCTTTGATTGCTTCACATTTATCAGCTTCAGTCAAGCATGGCCCAGTGATTAAAATGTTATTTTATTTCAAGAACCGTGGATTCAATTTCTGTTGCCATTAGCCATGCTTGCCCTTTCAGCTATGGAAGCAATATATTTGTTTCTTTAGTTTTAAGTTATGGCAAAGTTACTAATGCTGTCTTCCACTGTCCCTAATTTTCTACTGCTGACCATAGGAAAGGAAACTGGTGAGCAGCATCTGCTGCCAACTCTTTCATGAATGAACAGTATGACTGCCATTATAATGCTAATGTTCTTACTGCTGAAAGGATGAACATGATTAATGGCACCAGGTACTGAATCTGTAAACTTCAACTCAAGAGGCACAACACCACAATGATGCCCATTGCTCGTGTTTACCTTATTTGGATGAAATAATGTAGCTTTAACTTAATATTTTAGCACACTTGTACAAGCTGCAAATGTAACCAGTATTACTCAGAGTAAAACTGTTTTAGCAGAAAAAAGTTGGGCAAGTTAGCATTCATTATTCTTGTTAAAAAATAAAAGTTGATTGCTGAATAACTAGTTCATTTAATTGTTTTTTTTTAGAAATTATTAAGCACAGACTAATGACAGTCTAAAAATAGATAACATTGTTAGTTACTCATAAAGTTATTTATAGAAACAGGACTCCTGAAATTAAGACTAGCTCTAGTTAGGTAGGAAGCAATAGGAAGGGATAAGCCTGGCTTATGTCACATGCCTATGCTTTGTACAGCAATCTTGATTTACCGATTTCTCAGCACACTCATTTATTTATATTTTTTAGCCTATACAATAAAATGGAAATATATATATTAATCATTTTAATGAGTTATTTCTATACTTCTCTTCCAACCAACCAATCAGGTCTTGCTTAAAACTGGATAATATTTTTTTATACTTGTAAAAGTTATTATTCTTAAGCTTTTCACGCAATGATAGAAATAGAAAAATTCTGACAAAAATCTTTACTAGTTTTATTATGTGAAATCTAAAGACAATTATATTTAATGAAGAATTAGTTTATTTAGTTTAGTAGCATAATTTTATGAAAATTTGTATGCAGAAACCCACAAAACAGTGTTAATCATACTTTCATCTTGTTAACGGTTTCATACTACATTGTATATATCATATATGCAGAAACCCACAAAACAGTGTTAATCATACTTTCATCTTGTTAACGGTTTCATACTACATTGTATATATCATACACATTAATGTACAGTCATTCAGGATTAAAAAAAAAAGAGATTGTATCCTAAGTTGGTGTACCTTAAGATGTCTGTCATATTAAACATAGAGTAGTTCGCGAATATCTTTAAAAACCCAAAATACAAGCTGAAAGTTATAATTTTCCTATACTGAAAGTGTATTTCTGATAAGTACTTACGTCCTCTCACATAAATAGCTATTCTCGTTCATTGCTGCCCTCTCTATACAAAATTTTATTTTGAATGCCACAAGTCTTGAAGCTCCCACCCATCTTCGAATTGACTGATTTAAATGTTCTCGCATGCAAATTGTCATTTGACAACCCTCCACCAATAAGAGTGTGACACACTCTCTTGATGCATGCAACTCCCTCTATTCAATTCTACCAAACAAATAATCCAGCTGGAGTAATAAACATGAAAAAGTATGTGATGCAGTTAAAAACATTTTGTTAGAGAACAGTAAATTAAACAAACCATATCTTATAAAGTACTACAGAGATTGAGTACCTTATATCAAAATGATTCTGAAGCCTCAATATGTCATTATAAACTGTGTTGATATGTCCAGTCACACACTATTTGATGGCTGTGCATCTTTATAATAGCCCTGCAGTATAGTTTGCATTTCAAAATAATCTTTTGAAAGGATGTATGTCAAAAGTACTCTACTACATTCTGCATGTTTTACATTATCTATCTAGTGTACGAGTACAATTGTTTCCGAGTGCCCTTTGCAACAGTTCAATTGCACTAAAATCCATAGGTGCTGCATTTAGTGAGTGACCTGTATGTATTTGTATGGAAGAGCATTAATTCCTCAATGCTATTTTTCTTTCATATTGCTTCACTGTTTTATACATTTATTTATAGCCATATATGCAGTAATCATAAAAAGCAACTTGTTGAAAAATAAGTGAAAGCATTTTTTCATAACGTTTTTAGGTTTAAATCTGATTTCATAATGTTTAAACAAGTTTGCTTGTTTCTTAAGGTTTAAAAGTTTAATAAATTGAAATAATATATCACCCCTAGTATGTAGAGATACTCTATGCCTGTTACATAAAGCAGAGATGCTTTCAAATTCTCGTGACTGAGTTTTCTGATTAGTCAGCTATAGAGAGAAGGTGAACTGCATATGCAGTTTAGGTATTTTCAACCATATCTATTTTGGTCTTGTAAGAGTTAAGACTTGCTGCAAAGTCCTCATTATTTCTTGTAGCATAAGTTTGCTGATCATTTGTGGTTATTCTCATTATCAGTAATTTATTTTAATTTTTTTTTTATTAGATATAATTTTCTTCTATTCACTTTAAAAAAAAAATCCAATACAGTTTTTTTGCAATTACTTTATATTTCAATTTCCAGCAATATTCTTACCACCAGACAATCAGCCTTTAATCTTCAGATTTCTTATTAATCAATCAAGTGTTGTCATCTGAATTTTCTGAAGAGTCAGATTATTACATTCAAAGAAGAGGAAAATGAGAAGGGGTAAGAAAAATGAGATGACTAAAAATGTGAAAAACTAGAATAGATGGAAAAGACATGCTATGAATTAATAGCAATTATAATAAGTGCATTCTCAAAGAAAGCTTGTTAAGTGATATCAAAAACAATTTACTTATTTTTGTTCAAATGTTAATCTCAATTCTGATTACTGTAAATTATAAACTTGAAGGGCAATAATTAAAATCTTAGTTATATTTAGCATAAAGTTTCTACCTTGAATTAGCATGTTTATTGTGAAAATGTAAAGTAAAAAAGTAAAATTATTTTGTAATATCAAAAGTCAAATGTTATTGTAATATAATTACTAATATACTAATAAAATGTTTTGTTACTTTTATAATAAATGACATTGTTTTTATCATTATTCAAATTAAATAAATGTTTAATTATCAATAGTTAAATAATCAATATTGTCATGATTTTGGATGAATAGTTGACTATCAATAGTTACTTCTGTTTTAAATACATCTGAAAATATTAGTGTAGTATTTTCAACAGTATCAAAATCATTTAAATTACCCATAATTTTATATCACTAACTTTGCAATAACTCCTGTAATTCATTTTACAACTTAAATCCAGCTCTCGTTTGAAATCTTCCGGACATGGTTTAACATCATGAACCTCTGTGTTCCCCATGGCTAAGAATTGTTCTCACTGTCTCATGCTAGCTAAAGGAAGAATAAAAACAAATTAAAATGAAATATAAGTAAATAATTTTATATTTTTCTGCACTACTTCAAAATAACATTAATTTTTCAACAATTGATATTTCAATTTTCTTAGCCTCATATTCACAAGAAAGTGAAATAAAGCATCTGGTACAATTATATACACATGTTACACAATATTGAGAAAACATTTTGATGATTTTTTTTATTTTTATTTTTAAGGAGCAGATTTATCATTAAAATTGCATTTTAAGGCTGATTTTATTAACGATAAAAACCCTTTCACGGTTATCCGAATGTGAGTTGACAATATCACATTTTTCAATGCTATGCCAGCTATATCAAAAAGTGAAATATTAGTTTTATAACTTGATACCCACATTTCCTGTTGTATTAGCCAATAATGATTTTTTTCATAGATGATCATAAAAAAAGACAAACAAATGTTATCATATCATACTGTACCACTCTTTATCAAACTTTCATCATTAGAAAACAAATTGAAAACTAATTTAATAGAAAGTGTGGTCTGTACTAAAAAAACATGTTATACATATACTTGTACAGCTGTACGTAGTTTACATGCTATAGATATTACACTTGAATAAAAATGGTAGACATTTATAGTAAGCACTACCAAAATATGGTTTTCACTAAGATCATTTAGCTTAGAAAATTGTATTCTCACACTACATGGTCTATGGTACGCAAAAGGTTTATAGACATTTCCATAAAATAGCTAAAATGCCTAATATTTATACCTTGTGATTAAAGAAGGTAATATGCACAAATTGCAAAGTATCTGTAAATTAAATAAGAGGGATTATGAAGAAATCTGATTTACAGTTACAGATGGAAAAAACAAAAAAGCTTTTAGTTTTAAACCAACTAACTTGATATGGCTAAGACTACATGCAAGCTTTGTATATTATGTATTTAGATAAGGCAAGGTTGCTCTGGGCTAAAATTTTTAAAGGCCTTGAAGGATTCAATGTTGTAGATTTATTTATAGTTAATTATTCTACACCTATAGGTTACAAGTATAAAATACATAATCAGAGCTTCAGATTGGATTTAAGAAAGTTATTTTCAGTCAATGGAATAATCTTTCTGTGAACAGTGTAAATGAGTTTAAATGCCACCTTCAAAGATATTTAAGACATAGAGAGGAAGCTTATATGCACCAGTGCACAGCTGGCTCCCTGCTCTGTTGGCCTCCATTCCTCCTTGATACAAGAAGAATGGAAGACACAAAGTAAATATTTCGGTATTAAATGTCTGCTACAGTAAACTAAGTATTATCTGTCAATGGAGACAGATCTGACCTATATAAAATTTAATACTAACACTTTTAGTGGATTTATACTGTTAAAAATTGCCAGGCCTGGCATTAAGGATAAGCAATAGATGACTTTCTTGGATGCCAAATACTCAAGGGTTCCAGTGTATGGCCAATTAAGTTATTACCATTCCTGAAAAAGGACACATTATTTGAATTTACCTATCACTAGATTTCTCAATAATAGGTTTATTTTTAAACATTGGTAGACATAGGATGGACATCCAAATATATATTTTAGTACAGTGATATACCTTAAATCTTGGGGGAAAAAATTACAATACAATTCAGAAAACAAGAAAGTCTTGCACAAGTTATAGATAAAAACATATATTATTTAGATGTATCACAGGAATACAAATGTTTAATAACAAAAAAATCTTTGAACATAGTCTCATGGACCATTAAGAAGTTTCAGTAGTTACACTGGGCTGACAAAGCATAAACCAAGCTAACAACTAACAAATACACACGAGTACATATTTCTGCCAACAACGAGTTTACAGGACATGAGGAATGAAGCCACATCCCCTACATTTTCATTAATGGGAAATTGCCATTTCTAAACTTTAACAATCAGACTGAATTGAGTCATAGGGTGTGATTTTGCAGCATGTAATTTATAAATCATTATATGTAATGCTGGAGCATAAGCAGAGTAGGGGTGAAAAACTACCCAACATTCTCAAAAAGCCCAAAGGATCCACCAGCTTCCAACTGTTAAACACTCGACTTTTACATAAATCACTTAAATTCTTTGTGTAGAAGAAAAGGTAGCACTCTGTAGTGCTGGCTATGCCCCTGTAACATAGCAACTATTTACCATCTATTCCATTTTTCAAGTAATAATTATACCCTTGAATTGAAATAAAGATATAAAAACATTTTCAAATGTTGGAACAATATTATGATAAATATAAGATAATGTAATTCTATTCGAAACTATGAATGGACTGCTCACAGGTATATTATTATTGTTAATACTATATATAATATTGTTAACAACCAGTATTTGTACTGTCCGAACTTTAGCTAGCCTAACAATAACAGTATAAGAATGTTGAAACTTTTCTGTTGTTTTTTTTATTTTTTATCTATTATCCATAATTCCACATCCAGCTCCTTGCAAACTTTTCAAGTTTAATTAAAATATAATAATACTAATAGAATAAATAATTAGATCTTCTAATTTGATTTATAACTGACCAATGTACACTGTACAAATTAAGAAACTTTTATTCTTTATAAAACTGTAGACTTTAATTTTAGTTAAAATTTAACAAGCTCTGGTTACTAGCCTTAAGGCAATTGCTCACATCTAAACTTAACTTCATTAGTTTATACACTCGACAGTCCGTTTTTATACCTACTAATACTGTTACTAAGAATAACCCTATAATTTTAACATTTAAGCTACACACATTTTCTGTATTATATTACCATGTTGTTGCTGACTTCGAACCTAATAATATACAATGTCATAAGACCCATTTCATGTTTTGCCACGTGAAACTTTAAAGTTGCACATCATCGGAAAACCAAACGAAATTGCTCGTTGGTTCAGCGATCACCACGCCATTTTTATTAATTAATAACAGTCTACTTGTGTTCCAGTTTTAAACAGTAATACTTCTCAGTTTGCCATTCTTTATTGAAAAATATTTGTTTTTATAAATATTGCTATACTCTTCTGAATTGTAGATACATAAGGTGCAAGAATTTATATTTGAAATATATATTTTTAATGTTTCTATATAGTTGTCTCAAACCGGCTTTATTTGCCGGGCTTATATACAAGAATAGGAGGGCGTCTAGAATGTACTCGCCTCTTCATGAACCTTCTAGACACTTATCACTTATAACAGTATAAACAAAAACGCATTCCGATTCTAATTTCTAGAGTGTAATTTGACAGATGGTGGTATATCTTAAAAAATTATAGCTTTTTGATTATCGATGGGGAAAATAAACTGAATAAACCTCCTTTTTTGCCGAATATTGAGTTAACTTGCTTCTCCAGCTCCATTAATATTAGGGTTAGAGGTGGTTTCAGGGCCAGATTTAGACCCTTTGAGGCTCCTGTGCAATACTTCGATGCTACAGGCCCCCTTCATTAGACACTGCAACCCCGTAAATTGGGCACTGGGGGGGCAGAAGTGACGGCTAGAAAGGGCAGATAGGGAGACATAGAAACAGATAATCGAGTCGAGTGAGCGGTAGTGGCCATTAGTGAAGTGCGTGAATCGTTGTGAATTATAGCGTGTGTTTAAGTTAAAGTGACTATGTAAATTCTGTATATTGCAAAGTTGTGTTGAGAAAGAATAAATTAGTTTTATTTAAGAAAGGACTTGTATCGCTGAAGTTCTTCGGAAATAATTTTTACGGGAAATTAACAAACGAACAGAGACGTAACAATACTCAAAACGTAGCATGCAACTATAAACTTGGATATATAAATATATATTATAGGTGAAAGGAAATATAACCGATATTTTATATAAACCTATCCTAGTGTGGTCTTATACACTCTCTATCAGTTAAATTCTCCTCATAATGGCATGAGGATTAGCACTATTCCCACGATACAGAATTTACTAATCGGAATTAGCATTTAGGCTCACCTGCTCGTACATCAAATGCATAATTTTTTCCGGGGGGATATGTCCCTTGTACTTTTTCAAGGATAATATATATATATATATATATATATATTGATAGAATACCCTTATGCATACCACAACTGCACAAACTATCCCTCTTCCTAACATTTGAAACCAAAGTTAGGCCACTTTACATCTTAAGAAAGTGCATGTCACTTTTGCTGTACGTACATGACTAAAGTTAGTAAGTAAAAAACAGTTTTTTTTTAACCAAGAAGGATATATCTATTAGGCAACGCCTTTGTAGTATTATTTCCCCTAGGGGCACCAACTATTTGTGGTATAGTTGTTAACTTAAGAAAATAAAGGATGTATTAGCTTGTGTGTAGGATGTAGTAACATCTGTGGTGTGTCATTTTTACTGACATATTCGAGGTAACTTACTTTTATTTCCATTATGACATAGAATATTATATTTACTCTGTAAGGACCTTTGTTTGTTTGAAGTTAAGCACAAAGCTGCACAATGGGCTATCTGTGCCCTGTCCACCACGTGTATCGAAACCCAATTTCTGAGGGGCTGTAAGGACCTACGTATCGTCTTTTAAAATATAACCTTCATCCTCCTTCTTTCCTTATTTCATGTGATGAGATAACCTCGTCAACAATGTATAAGGTACATAACTAATTACGTAAATTCCGTTACTCGTGATTTTCATCTAGTTAAAAATGTATAAAATCAGAAAAAAAAACGCCCTTTACCCTTTAGATAATAATAAAAACTTTATAACTTCAGCCAACATGCGGCTTCATCGGGGCTTGGCGAAACGTTGGCTGAAATATAAAGTTTTTATTGTTATCTCGAGGGTAAAGAGATTTTTTTTCTAACTTTTTTGCCAAAATGTATAAATCCCTCTGGTACGTACAACAAATTCTGAAAAACAGAAAAACGTCTAAAGTATTTAATAAATACAAATTATGTTTAAATTCGCTAATCAATAAATTAAAACAATTTTTAGTGTTTTATAAAGATTAAAATACGAGTAATTTATGTAATATTCATTAACGGAAATTATTATTATTATTGCCGAATTTTATAAGTGGATTAAATGTTAATATTTAGGCATTAAAATTGACAGTTAAGCTACCTATTTTATTTGTAATTTATCAAAAAAATAATAAAAAATAAAGGTATAATTTGAATCAACTATGATAAATCAGCAAGATTTCGGTTAAAAGTGTTACGGTATATTCATTTATTAAGATCATGTTGTACTCATATTGTCAGTTGTTTGATCAGTAGCTCACGCTTGTATTTATATAAATATGTATTAGTGCATTATACTGTTAATCAGATAATTTTGTGTAAATAGCTGCTACAGTCTCCTAACCGACTGTTAACTGAAATTTCTTGATAGGCCTGTATACAGGTGATGCGGATGTATATGTTTCTGTTTATTGTTATGTCAGTGTACATAATCTCTATATTAGTATTAAAAAACGTTGTGAATTAATTTTTTGTTTTGTTTGTTGAATTTCACGGATTTTTTTGTTGGTATGAAGCACAAAACTACATAATGAGCTATATGTTCTGTGCCCACCGCGAGTATTGAAACCCATTTTTTAGTGTTATAACTCCGCAGGTTTACCTCTGAGCAACCAGAGTGAGGATGATTGCGCAAAAAGATATTCAAAGGCTATCTGCTCTAGCCATCTCTGACTTTGTACTGAAAAACCAGAGGTAAGACACCTAGTAAACAGCAGTCACCGCTAACTTTTGGATTTATTTTGTTGACCAAATGGTAGGATTTGACCGTCGCTCCTATAACGCCTGAAAGTGCGAATCGCGATTTTCATTTTATTTTTGACGGTAGCGGGACGCAAACGTTGGGCATGCAGCTCCACAGTCCGATATATATAACCATTAGGTTACATTTGGCCAACCACAAATTAATAACAAAAAAAATGACCTAAAAGTTTGCCTAAATTGACGTTGGTGGTTTGAACGTCAAAAGCTGGTGAAACGTTTGAAAACGTTAAGCCCAATAACAATAATTGCGATAAAATCACGATTATTGGGTCTATTGATTTGTGAAATGAATAAACCGAAATTGACAAAGCATGGTTCTTTTTTGCTTTAAAGTTTAGGGCACCAGACACACAATAAATATTATTAATCTACTTTGTTTGCTCCACAGAGACTCAGCGGTAAGCCTGAAAGTCTAGAATGCCAAAAATCGAGTTTCGATACCCATGGTAGGTACAGCACAGATCCCATTGTGTAGCTTTGTGCTTAATTACAAACAAATCTTTTTTCTGGAGCAATCAGGTATAAAAACAGACGTTATATAATTTACAAATCCTTTGCAAAGTGGCTTTTTGAGTAAAAGAGGACACAAAACAAATTGTAGTTAACATTTTAACTGACTCAACGGGACAGTTTCGTGCTAAATTCAATGAGAGTGTTTCCCCCAAAAAAAACAGTGTTTAAAAAACTGAAGACATTTTCCCCTTCACGTGTAGTTTAAGCGGTACGGAATGAAGTATGCAATGAAGAAGCTTTTCTAAAACAGAAAGCATTAAAAATTTAGTACATTGGTTAATATCTAAATATTTACCAACATTTCATTTTTAACTGGTTCCATGTGCTTTTTTCAGTAAACAGGAGAGTATAACAGTATTTCAATTAAACTTTGGTCGTTGTTGAAAACATTTTCTCTCAACATCGTAGTGATTACACCATTTGAATCAAAATACTCAAAGTCTTGGTTGAAATTCAACTGTTATATAAATTGTTTGAGAAATATGACTCTGGGTTAAAATAGCAAATAAACGAGTATGATCCCTTTTATAGCGATACTTGTTACGAAATGTAACAATAGACATATTACAAGTAGTATTTTGACGAAGATTTAAGTGTCGTAACCTACTATGATAACATTTGCTGTTGTGCAATTTAAGGCCTCGTCATCCTACGCCAGAAAGAATGTATTTAAATGTTATTAAAGTTAAACATGATTACCGCAGTTGTTTAGAAAAATCAAATTATCAGTAGTCTTTTTTTTGTCATTTTCTCTTCATTATTATTAACCTAAAATTAATTATACTTTACCATCTCTTGTTGTTCTTGTTTACTTGCTTGTTAAGTGCAAAGCCACACAATAGGCTATCAGCTCTATGCCCACCACGTGTATCTTTCCCCGATTTTTAGGTTTATAAACCCTCAAAATTACAATTGAGCCACCGGAGGGTTTCTGTTATTCATCACACGACTTGCGTAAACTATTGATATCTGTAATAAAGTATCTCACCTATTCAAAGTACATGCCATGTCGAATTTTGAAATTTACGTTGCAAATAACAACTGAAGATAAGATCACAATATGCAGTAAAATACATAGGATTAATTGCATATGCAAATACAGTGACATGTCGCCGCAGGTGTGAGTTGTAGCGCCACGAGAAACATGTTTAATACCTACATATATTTAGTTTACTGTTAATTACTCACCATTCAACAGTGCAATGTTGGAGGATAAAAGCAGTTCTTTCCGAGGAAGGATATTCATATAACGAGATCGTTAAACGACGTAGAGCCGAAGGTCACGACATTTCGAAGTTTTGTTTGTTGTTAAGCGCAAAGCCACACAATGGGTTATCTGTGTTGTGCCTACCACGAATATAGAAATAAGATGTTTAGTGATATAAGCCTTTATACTTACCCATTAGCCGTTGAGGGGAGCACATTTCGAAGTAAAGACCCTTAAATGCTTTCCATGGAAGCCGGGAAAAACTATGGTTACGAAAGAGCACCATCTGATCCAAAAAGCTACTGCAATGAAGCTGAATGAAGTTAATAGAAAGTTTAACCACACTTCGAAATCAACGGCTGTTTTCATGAGAAAAATGTCCGAAGAAATTGGAATCCTAACAATCATATTTATCAATATATATATATATGTCAAATCCTCCAATGTAGCTCTAATGGATGTTAGTGCCTTTGGTCTGCTTAAATATGGTCTTGAAAGCAGATGTCCACGTACAGTAGAAAGTTTGTCAAGTTGTACTGCCTAAGGTTGACCTCTCCTCTGCACACAGACAAACTAACCCCACATAACAAGAGGTTAAAAGATTAAATTGAATGGAATGTTATTGTGAGAACGAGTAAAGAGAAGAAGAAACAACAACAAAAAAAAAAACGGAAATTGCTGCGTCAAGCAGTAATGCATATTCATGATAATCTAATAGAATATGATCAACAGAACATCGAACTTAAAGTGAAATTAAACTTCAGTAATAATGGTGTTATTCATAATTAACAGATGTTTGATGTTTCTCTTGACTACCATCAACCCAATAAGCTACGTGGACCTGACAGCTAAATCAAAGTATTTTGTTTGTTTGTTTTGTTGTTAAATACAAAGCTACAAAATGTGCTATCTGTGCTGTACCTACCATGGAAAAGCTTCTTCATTGCATACTTCATTCCGTACCGCTTAAACTACACGTGAAGGGGAAAATGTCTTCAGTTTTTTAAACACTGTTTTTTTTAGGGAAACACTCTCATTGAATTTAGCACGAAACTGTTCCGTTGAGTCAGTTAAAATGTTAACTACAATTTGTTTTGTGTCCTCTTTTACTCAAAAAGCCACTTTGCAAAGGATTTGTAAATTATATAACGTCTGTTTTTATACCTGATTGCTCCAGAAAAAAGATTTGTTTGTAATTAAGCACAAAGCTACACAATGGGCAACCTGTGCTCTGCCCACCACGGTTATCGAAACCCGGATTCTAGCGTTGTAAGTCCGCAGACATACCGTTGTGGCACTGGGGGCAGAAAAAGAGCAAGAGCGAAATGTATATATATATCGTTACCCTAACATACTGCATTCATTTTCGAACTGTTGGATGTTTCATTGACAGACATAGAAGAATTTAGTAGTATTTATTTGTAATATGACCTTAGCTTTGCTGTACATCTCTGTGAGATTCTATATAAAGATTTAAGGAAAATATTGGAAAGATATTGAAGTTTACACTTATGTAAGCAATTTATTTATATGTTATTTTCTTTAAACTTTCCGTTTTTTTCATATAATATTCGTTTCTACTTATTATTCCCTATGTTTCTATTTCATCGATTTCTATCATCTTTTTTTGCTTATTTTCTAAATGTTTTATCACTATTTTCTCTAAAATTCTTTCGATCATTACAGCTTTATCTAACTTGTTACTCTTTTTTTTTCACAGTTGTTGTTAGTTTTTCTAATTTTGTCGTTACACGCATATATTATGTAGCTACTAATCTTACATAAAATAATTTATTGATATTAGCTTAATAAGTGTATTGTATTACAAACTGAAGATTAAAGTTAAGATTAAAACCAATAAATTAGGCTCGCCAAGTGCGTTTAGATTTTTCAATATCTGGAATTATATACAATATAGGAAAAATGAGCAACCGTTTGTTTCATTTTAAGACTTCTTTTATAACATATTTCTGGAAATTAGAAAGTAGAGGTTGGCTAATCTATTACGCGCATAGAACGGAAAACGTGCGTTTAGTCAGCTTTTCTAATCAAACATATTCTCGATATCATTAATGATGCAATGGTTGATGTGTATACTGATATTCAAGAAAAGTCTCAAAAAGCCTTGCCAGTGTCAACGAGTTTCGTGTAACGAATGTTATTTCATCAGAAATATACGCATACCTAAATATATATGTACACAGGTGTGCTAATATCAACACCGGAAATTAACGAGATGTAAAAAACAAATTCTCAATGACTCCAGTATTTTCTGACAACCTTATAAAATAGATACAACTTTCACTGTTCTTTATTTCCTCTGACGTTCCTCAGGTGCAAGAAATTTGTTTCCACGAGTTTAGAAATATGAAGACGCTTTTGACGCTGCTCTTTGCGACTTCTCTAATGACGTTGACCATGGCGCTGCAACTCAGCAATACAGCAGAGAAAGAATTTCAAAATATAATAGACAACATGTGTAGTAAGTTTTGTTTTTTCAAAATTATAGAAAAAATATGCAATGTTTGTCATTGCAAAATTTAGAAATTATATAGGTTAAAGACCTACAATATAGAGATTACCTCTACGAATATGAAGTTACACAAGTTAAATATATTCTTCAGTATTAAATTTTATAAAAAAATGATAAGAGCTGATACATCACACTTTGTTGAACTGTTTCCTGTAGGTGGTAGCTGAATACTGCAATGGGTAAGATGCTATAAGATGGATGTTCTTTCATAGTATTAGATGTATATATAACTTATCAGAGATCAGAAGTTATAATATAAAGAAAATGAAAGAAAAACTTTAAATGACGATGTAATATATGAATAAAATGTGTCCTCATAAGTTTTAATTCCAATGTTATGAAATATTCTTGGATCAGGAGGTCAACGAGTTCTTAATTACATTTCAATTATGCAACGTATTGGTTATGATAATTCTAAAATATATTTTTCATGTTCCCATATGTAAGCGCTTATATATATATACATGTATGTTTTCAAGTATACTGTTACACCCTTTATGGATGTTTGAATCATACTTATTTTAGTGATCCCAAAAGTATGCTTTTCTTTGTCTGTACCAAACCGCTTTTTCATGTATAATATAAATATTTTTGGTATGCATCATTGCGATAGTCATTAAAATGTGCATTTCAAGACTTAATAAACTGCTGCTTCCTGGTGGCTCAGTGGCAAGTGTGAAGGCTTATAACAATAAGAATTGGATTTCGATACACGCGGCGGGCAGGGCACAGATAGCATATTGTGTACCTTTGTGTTTAACAAGAAACAAACAAACAAAATACATTTATTTTCGCACCTATTTATGATTGTTATGACGCTTGATTATTTACAGTTGGAGAATATTATCATTTAAATTGTTTTTAATAGTTTTATATCAATCAACACTAACCATAGTTAAGATTTCTTCAGAATGGTCGACGAACCGTAACAAACATGTTGAGTGACGACGAACAAAACCGAAATACTTTAATATATCAAAGTTTAAAATAAAGTGATATTATATATTTTTTCTATATAATAAGATTCAGTGTCCGTGTGTCACGTAAATCCTCCTAAACCGGTGATCGCACCGATTTCTAAATGCTGTCAAACAAATCTTCTCGGTCCCAAGGTTTGCACAAAGGGAAAAGTTTTCACTCCCACTCCTTGGAGAACCAGGATATTTCCCGAAAACACTTTTACGGGGATTCTTCGAAAATGTTGGTTTTAAATTTCGCGCAAAGCTACACGAGGGCTATCTGCGCTAGCCGTCCCTAATTTAGCAATGTAAGACTAGAGGGAAGGCAGCTAGTCATCACCACCCACCGCCAACTCTTGGACTACTCTTTTTACCAACGAATAGTGGAATTGACCGTTACATTATAACGCCCCCACGTATGAAAGGGCGAGCATGTTTGGTGTGACGGGAATTCGAACCCGCGACATTACGTTAGAGCATATAAATATAGTAATGCAAGCATTAAGTTTGCGTTATAGCAGCCCTGTAACTATAGGTTTACTAGTAGATTAATAGTTTGATTATGTAAGAAACTGTAGTAAATGCTAACAAGATAGAGAATTTTAATCCATAGTTAGTTTTCTATTGAAAGTTTTCATCATAAATTATTGAATATGATATGTTTATTCTTTCAGGTACAGATGACCAAAAGGTTAAAGAGGCAAATGACACAATAGAAAGCATTTTCGAAGTTCGACCTGGGGTAGGTGGTTTAGCACATCATATTTATATTTATTTCGTATTAAGTGTAAAGAGATACTCCTTTCTATATAGGATTTCATTAATACTATATTCGTTGTTGAAATAATAATCATGCAAAAGTTAAATATTTGAAAAACTAATCCTCTAGTTTTTTTCATTTTTTAAGTTCTCAGTTACATTTACAAAGGGTTTAATACATTATATTAAAACGATTTTGAATATGCAGATCAGTAAGTGACGTAACAAGAATAGCTTATATGAAGTCGCGATGAAACAGAATGTATCAGAACTACAAATTCGATGACGAGGAACCCACTTTGAGACTAATAATGCTTGGAGACAAAACCTTGTCGAAACGTTGTGCATTTGCTGTTATATTAAACTTATATTAAAGTTTTTCGTCATTATCCATTCAAGCCGTCTCCAAGCATTATTAGTATCAGAACTACGTTTTGGTATTGTTTGGTGTTTCGTAGTTACTGTGATGCCACTGAAAATGAATTGTTTTGGGGAAGGGTATGTTAGAACCCTTTCCTATATAAAATAGTCATACACTGAGATCATAAAGATGTGCTCAAATCGGAGATTTAGACCTTCTAAGACGACAATATTCGTTGTATTTAACATAATTAGAAAACAATAGAATATGGATAAGATTGAGGCAGTTACAAAAGCTGTTCATATGTCTGCGGCAACACTACACAACAAAATCAAGAAATATCTTCCTCTGGAAAAGCGGTAATTACTTCCAGCTTAGAGATTGTCTACACAGTAGAACATTATCAGCATCAATGCAAAGAACATATAGCATTAAGATGTTACTTAGTGACCCACAAACAGCCAATTTAAATTTGATTTAAGCAACTGAAACATTCATACTAAGAACTTTACGTCATTTTATAAACGAAACATAAACTCTATTTAAATGTTTTGTTCATCTTCATTTTACAATGTTTTAACAATGGGCTGAGTGCGACCTAGAGTTTAACGTGTCGAACTGCAGACGAGAAGGTATGAGGGCGTTATGACTGTGACATCCAATTCAACTATTCGGTTAGGAATAGCAGTGTAGACAGATGGTGCTGCAACTGGTTGTTCTCTGGTCAGTTCTAAATTAGAATCTCTTGTTTTGCCTTTTAGCCAATGTGTCGCATTAGGTGTCGTTTAAATACCAAACTCTGTATATATATAAGTCAAAATATTTTAGGTATCTTTCATTGTTACGTCACCTTCAAGCACTATATTAAATCTCTTAGAAGAAAAATATAGACGTTTGTCAGAAACTTACTTTTTTAATAATATATATATAGTATTGTAAGTATATGGGAGTGTTGGGCTAAGAATTCTTTTACAGTAGGTGTATGTGACTTGTTGGCGATAAATTCGAAAATAAACGAACAGTACGAACTCCACTTGTTTTTAAAATAATATATATATTACAAACAAGTTGAACGTACATACAAAATTATTTACACTATGGAGATCGTAGTTGTATCTTAAACACTATTCAATTGTTTTAGAATTCAGTTGACAAGCTGAACTATTTTTCTATTATATATATTAATTGTATCTTAAACACTATACAGTTCTCTTCTTCTTGTCAAAAGTACACTTAGGCCAATTGAATTGTTTTAAAATTCAGTTGGCAAGCCGAACTATTTTGCAATATTTTTATCACAATAGTATCCGTATATAATTCACTTACACTGTCGCATGAGTTACTGCAGTTGTATCCTCTACTTTTTGTGCTTCCAAATAATCGTCTGCTTTTTGTCAAAGTACACACAGGCAGTTTCAATTAGCTTAGAACACCCTTTGACAAGACATATTAATCTCCTTATCTCTTTCAAACATATTAATCTCACTTGAACATATCAACCATTAGGCCTTTCCTCCTACAATGGTGAACTTTGCATTTTCTAAATTTTCTCTCACCGAACTTCTCTTTCCTGTGACTTTCCTTTTTACTCTCTCACAGTTTTCACTCGTCTGGACACAGCTATTTATACATCTATCACTTAGGCCTTTTAGAAATCTCTATAGCTTCGACATCAATGGATTGCACACAACTTTCGATAGCCGAATAGCCTCGACATCAATGAATTACAAACACAGAATAAATAACGTTATAATACTACTTACACTAAACAGTCTTTTATATCTGGCAACGTTTAAAGTCGAAATTTTTTACTTATTTAGAAAATAAAGATTATCAAACTACTAGCGAACCCGTGGGCTAATGGCACATATTTACAGGTATAATCACCCTTCCATTTTTGACTGAGTAAAGTTTGTTACCAGTTATGAATTTAAAAATGTAGATGTGAAAGAATATGAGTGAAACGTAATGGTTATAAATTATAATAAAAAATACAGACAAGTAAGTAGCATACTTACTTATGTGCTCTAATGTAAACCAATGTTAAATTTAGGATCTACTTTTGAGGAATCCCGAAAAAAAATGTTTTAGCAAAATACCCGGGTTCCCTAAGAGGTTGGGTGAAATATTTTACTTTTGTTTAAACCTTGGGACCAAAATGATTCGTTTGGCACCATTTAGAAGTTGGTGGATCCAGCAGTTTAGGAGAAGAGGTTTTCAGGATATCCTCGGTTCCCTAAGGAGTGAAGTGAAAATGTTTACCTTTATGCAAATTCCCGGATTTAGACAATTCGTTTCGTACCACTTAGAAGTTGGTGCGACCAACCGTTTAGGAGGAGTTTCGTGACATATAGGCAGATATATAGATACTGAATCTTATTATATGGATGGCAGTTCTAAAATACAACCTAGCAGGATAATGCATTTAAGTAGTTTCACTCATTGACAATATCTAATAGTATAGTTTTATGATTTCATTTATTAAGAATTGAAAGAGAAGGGGAGGAGAGAAGGAAGAATGACCAAAGCTAATATTATTCTACAAGTAAATGAAGATGCAAACAAATACTAATGATATCAATTTATTTTCACCGTTAATCTCAAATGTAACATTTTAAAACAGTCTGAAAGTTTTAGAACATTTTATACAACACTTTGAATTTCTTTCAATCCGTGATTTGTGAGTCCTCAAACCAAGTTCTCTTATCATAAGTGTGGTAGTACTTATAGTAGGAATGGGTTAGATGGGCAATACAAATTCAAATCTCAAACACACTGCAAACAGCATTCAAACCAGACTTTATAAACACTTTGCAAACATTGTTGAGTATTAAACAAACCAACTGCAGAATAACAAGCCACCAAAGCACTTGAGAAAGTCGGTAGAGTAGAAACAAAAATTTCTCAAATTGACTTACTGACTAACGTTGTTGGAAAGGCGTAGCTCTCTCCTATTTTAACCTTACCCAAATCTAAATGCACATGATTGAATTATGCTACTTTGGCTAAAAGCGTTTATCTTACTTTTACTTATAACCTTGGTAATATACAGTAATAACAATAACCATTTTACAACACTACTACGAGATAGCAATACACTAGTAGCCATATTCTATTATTACGCGTATGCTCCATGACTTTCTGAGTAACTACTAGCTCTAATATTACGTGCGGGTGCACAATTGCTTATGTGCACGTGCTATGTGATCAGCCTGCAGCTGCATCAGCTAGAATTGCTGCTAGATAAAAAAAAGTGGACTATGTAGATTCTCTAGATCTAGTTCTAACAATGATGATGATCTCACCTTTGAAAGTGAAGTTTCAATTTTATATATCTGAGGTTTCTGTGACGATTTTCTTTCTTGTTTTTTATTAATGAAATTAAGTACTGTTTGTGGTCTTCGTGATGCAAACTTTGAACCTGTAGACAAACTTGTGAAAGTGGTGCGTGCAGCAACGAACGGATAGAATTAGACTTTCATCCAAAGAATTTGATAAACGTTGGTGCCTTAAATCGTCATATATTTTCCAAATATGTGGCGATACCTTAGACATAATTTTTTAGTTTGGTAACATTCCGTGTATTTATCAATACAATTTACTTTTCTTTACAGTTAATACTACTTAGATTTATGTGTATATAGTATTTGATTAAAGTTCATTCATCTTGTATAAAATATTATTTCTTCTTTTAATATGTTTTTAATTATTATCATAAATTTTATATTCCTTATCATTCATTTTGCTCATTATTTTTTAATTTTAAGGTTACATTTTAAGTTGTTTAGGGGTTATTTATGTTTGATTCTGCCCAAAGTTTTCTTGGCACTTATGGGGGTGAGAAGGGGTTTTTGCAACCTTTCTTCGTGTCGCATATTTAGTTACTTCATGGTGCAAACAGTAAAATTTTGTGGTTAAATTAAATGTCAGTGAAGTAAACGAGTAACTCTGTACGTTACATAGTTTTCGTTTAGTTCCTTGTTTTTGCTGCAAAAACTTGGACTGAAAACAAAAAAAAAGATAAGTTGTATAATTTACCTTTGCATTGTATACAAACTAAGTGTGTTCTATTGACATCTAAGGTTATACTTGAAACAGAGCCACTTTTTAAATATGCTTTCAATGAAACAAAACGAGAGAGAAAAGAGAAAAATGTTATGTTAATAACATTGAAAAGCCCCTGTCCCAACGAAGAGATCATTGCTGAGAATAGAGATAAGATTAGAAACAGTAATGCTGAATATGCGAAACAAGCCTTAGCCATTAATCCAGCCAAAGAAAGGGCTGCCACCTTGGCTAGATGGCAATAAAACTATAGCAAAGATATCAGCAAAATCCAGGAAATGTCGAGAAATAGCTCTAAGAAAAGCTACGAGAAGGTTAGGCCTAGAGCCCGGTCACTTTCGAGACTTAATACCAATAAAAGCTATAGAAGGATAGCCCTATAGCCCAGCCACTCTTGAAACTTATTACCAGTAAAAAAGGCCGTGAGACAAGTATAAAAAATTCTAAAAAATTAGGAAGTAGAAATTGGAACACCAAACAAATGAGGAAACAAGATAGGAATGGGCAGGATAACATTACAGCACTTGGTGTTTTTTGGCATGGTATAACTTCAAAGTGGGTGTG